TGCATATAAACGGCCGGACGGTGGCAGTGCAGGGTCGGGTGGCCGTTTATAAATGGCCTCCCCGCACCCTGCTTGTGCGCGCTCCCTCGGAGCACGCAGCACCGCGACACAGTGAAACACCGATCGTCGGACGGGACCTCTGTACGAGGTCCCGATCATGTGATCACTGATTGGCAATCAGTGATCACATGTGTATAAGCAAGATGTCACTTGTGACATCATTGCTTACTATGTGTGAAATCTGTGAATGATCACAGAGGTCACATGGTACAAGGCTATTCACAACAGTACCATGTGACAAGCTGTGACCAATCACAGCTCACTCAGTACTTCTCAATGAGTGCAAGAATGCACACAGAGAGAAAGAGAAATGATTGCTTTTATATCCTATATGGGTGTAAAAGCAATCAGTGTAAAAAAAAAAAAAAAAATCTTCATCACCCCCCATAAGTAGTACAGTGTCACCATGGTGACACTGTACTGCTAGGGTGACAGTATGTAAAAAAAATAAATAAATAAAAAATAATATAAAAAAAAAAAAAAAATGTAAAAAAAAATGTTTAAAAATTTATAATTTTTGGTTATAAACTTTGGATTTTTTTTTTTTACTAAAAAGATAACGGAATAAATTTTGGCAAAGATTTATGATGAAATAATATTTATTTGCAAAATGTTATAAAAAAAAAACACTTTTTTTCAAAATTTTTGGACATTTCGTTTACATAGCAAAAAAAAATTAAAATCCCAGAGGTGAATAAATACCACCAAAATAAAGCTTTATCTGTGTCAAAAAAATGGTAAAAAAATTCATTTGGGTACAGTGTTGCATGACCGCGCAATTGTCATTCAAAGTGTGATAGCGCTGAAAGCTGAAAATTGCCCTGGACAGGAAGGGGGTAAAAGTGTCCGGTCTGGAAGTTGTTAAGACGTTTTCATTGCTTATACTCATAGAGGCCCAAAATCCAAAGGAGCACTTTCAAGCTATCAAAGGCCATAAGTTACACATCATATTTCCTGACTACCTATCACATTTTGGAGGCCCTAGAATGCCAGGACAGTGGAAACACCCAGAAAATTACTACATTTTAGAAAGCAAGCCTTACAATGTATTTTCTAGGAGGCATGATGAGTCTTTTGAAGATTATATTTTTTGACAATGGAAAGAAAATGAAAATGTATATTTGGTTTTTTTCCAAAGTTGTCAATTAATAGGACATTTCTCACATAGTAAATAGGCATACAAAGAATTACCCCCACAACTACTATTCCCCTTGATAAACAAAAAGGAGGAGAGAAATGCACCACTACCTAAGTGTAGTATTTATTAAAACATATAGTGAATTAAAAACCAATATATATGCACTCACATTTTAAAAGGAGTTAACAAGTGTAGTCTTCAGCAGGTGACAACCTTCTAGGTGGTCAATGGTGAGCAAGCCCCTCTGTGTGGATGTCTTGTAAGATGCTTGCAACCAAGAAGCTGACCAGGGGAACATCAGGAAGAGCCAGCAGAAGCAGCAAACTGTGTGCACAAATCACATAAATGAGAACCATTGTGAGCAGCAGGGAAGCGCTGCAGGCTCACAAGATGACTGTGATGATATCATGTGTGCTGTAAATGGGTGTTGTTATGCATTTCAGGATGTGGCCTCCTTTGTCAAACTTTAAAGGTCCAAAATCCAAAGAGCAACTTCAGGCTTCCAAGGAGTAAAAAACTATGCATCTAATTTCCTGACTACCTATCACATTTTTCACCAGGATGTACCGCACTGCTGGTGCTTGCCTGCTGAAATTCACTAGGATGTTCAGTGAATGTTGAATGCACCTGACTCTTTTAGCAGGGACCCCTTCATCATCTGAATCAGAGGTGGCCATTAATGAAACACTGCTTTGTGCAGGTTCATACTCTGCGTCTGACTGAGATCTCCTCCCCACTATTCTCACCAGACATACTCAGAATGTGAAACTCCTTCCAACTAGTTAAATTTTTTGGCAGTGCCTGTTCTGGTATCTGGCATTGGCTGGCAAACCAGTTCTAGCTAAAATTGGTGCTAGATGACACTTTAATAGAATACCGTTTGTAGCAGCACTGGTCTGGGGACACTGGGACTGGTGTGGCTATCAATTAGCTGATTTACCCTCTTCTGGTGATACTGGTGTGGCGGCAGTCACGAACACTGTTGCTGGCTGTACTGGTCTGGTGACACTGGCATGCTGGCATTCAAGAACACTTTTGCTGGCTTACACTGACACTAAGACTGGTGTGGTGGCGCAGCAATCAGGAATGCTGTTGCTGGCTGCACTGGTCTGGTGATACTGACACTGGTGTGGTGGTGATCAAGAACACTGTTGCTGACTGCACTGGTCTGGTGACACTGGCCCTGGTGTGCTGGTGATCAGGAACACTGTTGCTGACTGCACTGGTCTGGTGACACTGGCCCTGGTGTGGTGGTGATCAGGAACAATGTTGCTGGCTGCACTGGTGTGGTGACACTGGCCCTGGTGTGCTGGTGATCAGGAACACTGTTGCTGGCTGCACTGGTGTGGTGGTGATCAGGAACACTGTTGCTGACTGCACTGGCCCGGTGACACTGGCCCTGGTGTGGTGGTGATCAGGAACAATGTTGCTGGCTGCACTGGTGTGGTGGTGATCAGGAACACTGTTGCTGGCTGCACTGGTCTGGTGACACTGGCCCTGGTGTGGTGGTGATCAGGAACAATGTTGCTGGCTGCACTGGTGTGGTGGTGATCAGGAACACTGTTGCTGGCTGCACTGGTCTGGTGACACTGGCCCTGGTGTGGTGGTGATCAGGAACAATGTTGCTGGCTGCACTGGTGTGGTGGGGATCAGGAACAATGTTGCTGGCTGCACTGGTCTGGTGACACTGGCCCTGGTGTGCTGGTGATCAGGAACAATGTTGCTGGCTGCACTGGTGTGGTGGTGATCAGGAACAATGTTGCTGGCTGCACTGGTCTGATGACACTGGCCCTGGTGTGGTGGTGATCAGGAACACTGTTGCTGGCTGCACTGGTGTGGTGGTGATCAGGAACACTGTTGCTGGCTGCACTGGTCTGATGACACTGGCCCTGGTGTGGTGGTGATCAGGAACAATGTTGCTGGCTGCACTAGTGTGGTGGTGATCAGGAACACTGTTGCTGGCTGCACTGGTCTGATGACACTGGCCCTGATGTGGTGGTGATCAGGAACAATGTTGCTGGCTCCACTAGTGTGGTGGTGATCAGGAACAATGTTGCTGGCTGCACTAGTGTGGTGGTGATCAGGAACAATGTTGCTGGCTGCACTAGTGTGGTGGTGATCAGGAACACTGTTGCTGGCTGCACTGGTCTGATGACACTGGCCCTGGTGTGGTGGTGATCAGGAACAATGTTGCTGGCTGCACTAGTGTGGTGGTGATCAGGAACACTGTTGCTGGCTGCACTGGTCTGATGACACTGTCCCTGATGTGGTGGTGATCAGGAACAATGTTGCTGGCTCCACTAGTGTGGTGGTGATCAGGAACAATGTTGCTGGCTGCACTAGTGTGGTGGTGATCAGGAACAATGTTGCTGGCTGCACTAGTGTGGTGGTGATCAGGAACAATGTTGCTGGCTGCACTGGTCTGGTGACACTGGCCCTGGTGTGGTGGTGATCAGGAACAATGTTGCTGGCTGCACTGGTCTGGTGACACTGGCCCTGGTGTGGTGGTGATCAGGAACAATGTTGCTGGCTGCACTATTCTGGTGACACTAAGACTAGTGTGGTGGTAATCAGGTACACTGTTGCTGATTTACACTAGCCTGGTGACACTGGTGTGGTGGCAATCAGGAACAATGTTTCTGGCCTACACTGGTCTGGTGATACTGGAACTAGTCTGTTGTATTTGTAAAATGAATAAGGATTTTGGATGGAGTACCATTATGAGTTGCTAAAACTCCCTGTGATACATATGCAGTAATATCAGTTACCTGAACAGGGATTTTTTTTATCTCTTCTCCAAAAAACTTTCACTTTGACAAGGTCCTTCCTTCTTTCAGATATGTAATTCCTCACTTTGATGCATGTCGTAAAATGTATATGTGTGTTATTTTCCGAAAACGTATTTTCAAAGCTACAGCTTTCTGGAGAAACAATCTGCCTCTTTTCTGAGAGTCTGACATACAGTGTTCACTTTTCTCACTACTGCAGTCAATTACCATTTCAGTATTTTTAATAAACAAGTCCCCGGTCCAACCTCCCTCTGAATTTATATTAAAATCACTGTAAAATATATTTTTTTTCTTTGGTCCAGTCACATGACGTCCCTCTTTCATCTCTGCTGATTTTCAATCCTGCAGAGAATGCACCCACATAATTACCTGTAGCCATTTTCTGAAGCATTCTTCTTTAACCACTTCAAGTCCGGACACTTTCACTTCCTTCCAGTCCAGGACAATTTTCAGCTTTCAGCGTTATCACACTTTGAATGACAATTGCGCGGTCATGCAACACTGTACCCATATGAATTTTTTAGCATTTTTTGAGACAGATAAAACTTTATTTTAGTGGTATTTATTCACCACTGGGATTTTTTTTTTTTTTTGCTATATAAATAAAAAAAGTCCAAACATTTTGAAAAAATTGTGTTTTTCTTATAAAATTTTGCAAATAAATAAACTTTCTTCATAAATCTTGGCCAAAATGTATTCAGCTATCTTCTTAGTAAAAAATAAAATAACCTAAATTAGTTTATAACCAAAAATTATAATTTTTCAAAACTTTTTTTTTACATTTTTATTTTATTTTTTATATTATTATTTATGGTTTGTTTTTGTTTTATTTTTTACCATACTGTCACCCTAGCAGTACAGTGTCGTCATATTGACACTGTACTACTTGTGGGGGGTGATGAAGATTTTTTTTTCTTTTTTTACACTGATTGCTTTTACACCCATAAAGGCTGTAAAAGCAATCATTTCTCCTTCTCTCTGGCTGCATTCCTGCATACATTGAGAAATACTGTGAGAGCTGTGATTGGTCACAGCTTGTCACATGGTACAAGGCTGTTGTGAATAGCCTTGTACCATGTGACCTCTGTGATCATTCACAGATTTCACACTTAGTAAGCAATGATGTCAACAAGTGATATCTTGTTTACTACTATTCATGTGATCACTGATTGGTCAATCAGTGCGGACATAGTACAGGCGATGATCAGAGACTGCGGACATAGTACAGGAGATGATCGGAGACTGCGGACATAGTACAGGAGATGACCAGAGACTGCGAAGGTACTAGAGGAGATGACCAGAGACTGTGGTCATAGTACAGGAGATGACCAGAGACTGCAAACATAGTACAGGAGATGACCAAAGACTGTGGACATAGTACAGGAGATGACCAGAGACTGCGGACATAGTACAGGAGATGATCGGAGACTGCGGACATAGTACAGGAGATGATCGGAGACTGCGGACATAGTACAGGAGATGATTGGAGACTGCAGACATAGTACAGGAGATGACCAGAGACTGCTGACATACTACAGGAGATGACCAGAGACTGCTAACATACTACAGGAGATGATCAGAGACTGTGGACATAGTACAGGAGATGATCAGAGACTGCGGACATAGTACAGGAGATGACCAGAGACTGCTGACATACTACAGGAGATGACCAGAGACTGCTGACATACTACAGGAGATGACCAGAGACTGCTGACATACTACAGGAGATGACCAGAGACTGCTGACATACTACAGGAGATGACCAGAGACTGCTGACATACTACAGGAGATGACCAGAGACTGCGGACATAGTACAGCAGATGACCTAGACTGCGGACATAGTACAGGAGATGACCAGAGACTGCGGACATAGTACAGGAGATGACCAGAGACTGCGGACATAGTACAGGAGATGACCAGAGACTGCGGACATAGTACAGGAGATGACCAGAGACTGCGGACATAGTACAGGAGATGACCAGAGACTGCGGACATAGTACAGGAGATGACCAGAGACTGCGGACACAGTGCAGGAGATGACCAGAGACTGCGGACATAGTACAGGGGATGACCAGAGACTGCGGACACAGTGCAGGGGATGACCAGAGACTGCGGACACAGTGCAGGAGATGACCAGAGACTGCAGACACAGTACAGGGGATGACCAGAGACTGCGGACACAGTACAGGAGATGACCAGAGACTGCAGACATAGAACAGGAGATGACCAGAGACTGCGGACATAGTACAGGAGATGACCAGAGACTGTGGACCTTTGGGGAGCGGGTACCCAAATTTGACAGGTACCCGCTCCTACTTCCACAGAGTTGTCCTCCCTCCCCATCTTCTGGGACACGTGACAGGTCCCAGAAGACTGCCGGACTGTTCACAAAGCACAGCGCTTCTCACGCATGCGCAGTGGGCACCCGGCTGTGAAGCCACAAGCTGTCATAGCCGGGTGTCCACACTATAGGTGCTGGCGCCAGAGAGAGAAGACGGTGAGGACACCGCTGGACCAAGGAACAGGTAGGACGGAGGTGCAGGTTCTGCTGCACAGAAGAGCAGAGCGGCCGGCCCGGTATTCTAACAGTCGGCGGGAATACTGGGCTGGCCACTCCATATTCGCTCCATAAGACGCACAGACATTTTCCCCCATTATTTGGGGGGGGGGGGGGGGAGTGCATCTTATGGAGTGAAAAATACGGTATGTTCAATAGAGCAATCATTTTATCTATCACTGTTGTAGTGCCTATAAAGTCCACCAAATGCCCCTTTTCCTAACCTAGCAGAGGACTGGAAGTAAAGCACAGACTGGTCAGTCTATGGAAAACACCTCTGTGGAGGAGGTGAGTATTGCAGCAAAAGCTGTTTCTTTTTCATTCTATAGAACATGGGTGATATTTTTGAATTAAATGTCAGCTTGTATTGGGCTTCAAGGTCCCCATCACACCAGTCCAGTGCATCGAGGCGCGGTACTGAATGCATGTTCAAATGCTGGGTTTTGGCTGTTAACTTGTATTAAGGCAACTAATTCATGTAGGATACGCTGCCGATACAACACAACATTTACATTTAAAAGATACATTTTTTTTTACATTTTATTTTTTTAAAATGGAAAGGTTTCTTCACAGTAAGAGCTGTGAAAATGTGGAATAGACTCCCTCAAGAGTTGGTTCTGGCCAGCTCAGTGGATTGCTTAAAAAAGTCCTGGATTCTTTCTTAGATACACAGAATATAACTGGATATAACATTTATAGGTAAAGTTGATCCAGGGAATATCCGATTGCCTCTCGGGGGATCAGGAAGGAATTTGTTTCCCAGCAGGAGCAAATTGGATCGTGCTTTGCTGGGTTTTTTTTTGCCTTCCTCTGGATCAACTGTGGGTGGGATTATAACTTTTTTATATGGTTGAACTGGATGGACTTTTTTCAGCCAGACTAACTATGTAACACATACCACCTATTTGTGTGGTGCACTGCCATGCAACTGCATTGGGCATGTTTCCAAGGTGCATTGGGATGCCATTCAAAATCAATTGCACCCTGCTGATCATGAATTACTTTATTTATTTCAGGTACTTATAGTGCTGTCATTTACGCAGCGCTTTACAAATATATTGTACATTCACATCAGTCCCTAACCCTCAAGGGGTGTACAATCTAAGGTCCCTAAATCACATTCATATACAAGGGCCAATTAAGACAGGATCCAATTAACCTACCAGCATGTCTTTGGAGTGTGGGAGGAAACCGCAGTACCAGGAGGAAACCCACGCAGGCACAGGGAGAACATGCAAACTCCACGCAGGTGGTGCCGTGGCTGGGATTTGAACCAATGACCCTAGTGCTGACAGGCGGAAGTGCTAACCATTTAGCCACTGTGCTGCCCTAACAGGGGCGGACTGACCATTTGGAAACTCAGGCACTGCCCGAGGGCCCGGGGTCAGTAGGGGGCCCCATGAGATGCCCCTGGTACCTTTTTCATAGGCTTTTTTGAGTTTGGGCAAGGACACAGGGGCCCCATGATCCCCTATTGCCCGGGGACCCCATGAGTTGTCAGTCCGCCCCTGTGCCCTAAACTTTGCCATGCTTTTATTTAGGGCAGCCCATTGAAAACACTGGCTTCTAATGCATGAAATATCGAACATGTTGTCATTTTTTTATGTAAATCCTGATGCCCATGCAGTTCTGGCCCCCAGTTCACAAGCCCAGCCCAAGCTGAAGCCTCTCACCTTTTGACTTGCTACAAAATTACAATGTTGCAGTTTGATCACTGGAGAAAAGACTGAGGAAATATTTCCTTCTACCTGCAGCAGTCTGATGACATCATCTCAGCCTAGGCATAGTCACTGGACTGGAGCACAAGCAGGGGCGGACTGACCATTTGGAAACTCGGGCACTGCCCGAGGGCCCGGGGTCAGTAGGGGGCCCCATGAGATGCCCCTGGTACCTTTTTTCATAGGCTTTTTTTGAGTTTGGGCAAGGACACAGGGGCCCCATGATCCCCTATTGCCCGGGGGCCCCATGAGTTGTCAGTCCACGCCTGTGCCCTAAACTTTGCCATGCTTTTAGTTAGGGCAGCCCATTGAAAACACTGGCTTCTAATGCATCAAATATTGAACATGTTGTCATTTTTTTGCTACAACACACTATAGTACTTTGCCATGCATTTCAACACGTGTGTTTCTGCAGCGATAACGCCAGTGGTAACGTTTGGGATGGTGCGTTTGCTGCCACAATGCGTAGATGTAAATCCACTCTAAAGGTTTTTGAAATGCGACAAACACTATTTTTGCAAATGAAAGTGACTGGAGAGAAGCGCCTTAGTACTAAACAATTGTAAAGCTGCTATGCACGAATGAGGTACCAATAACCCCTAGAAGACCTTACTAAACATAAAATAAAGTGCAGCGCTAAAACATATATAGATAATGACATGTATTCAATCAGTTCGATCAATAAAAAGTCCTCCTCAATTAGGTGACAGAGATTAGGTGCTCAAGTATGCAGGTGACTTAGGTATTCAGGTGACTTGGTTCAGGTATCCGTGCACGAAAGTGATAAAGCAATGCGCACTCACCAGACCCGCATAAAATATGCGCCTTTGTGTATAAATGATCCAGATGTCATCCGATACTGGGTGGTCCTCCCTCAGCTGTGTATGAGGCTGATGATCCTCTCCACTTAGGGGTCCCCCTGGTGTTGGACGTTAAAGGATCTGGTCTGGGTCCCTCCGGTGTATCCAGGAGCAGGTCTGCAAATTAGAGTGCTCCCCCTCCTTGCTGTTCCTTCACATGTGTGTTTCTCTGTGCTCACCTAGGTATAGGTGAGCACAGAGAAACACACATGTGAAGGAACAGCAAGGAGGGGGAGCACTCTAATTTGCAGACCTGCTCCTGGATACACCGGAGGGACCCAGACCAGATCCTTTAACGTCCAACACCAGGGGGACCCCTAAGTGGAGAGGATCATCAGCCTCATACACAGCTGAGGGAGGACCACCCAGTATCGGATGACATCTGGATCATTTTTACACAAAGGCGCATATTTTATGCGGGTCTGGTGAGTGCGCATTGCTTTATCACTTTCGTGCACGGATACCTGAACCAAGTCACCTGAATACCTAAGTCACCTGCATACTTGAGCACCTAATCTCTGTCACCTAATTGAGGAGGACTTTTTATTGATCGAACTGATTGAATACATGTCATTATCTATATATGTTTAGCGCTGCACTTTATTTTATGTTTAGTAATATTTTTGCAAATGGCTGTTCCATCACTAAAGGGATATAATTTGGCGTTTGCACATAACTGTTTGTTTTATGGCTGGGTCTTGTTTTTCGCCTGTTGTTCTTTTTATTACAAGGCCTCCAAGGACGTGAAACTGATAACGGGCGCCAACAGAAACTGTGATAAACAACATTATCTCACATACTGATGTCTGCTGTTGTTGTAATTACATGTGTTTTAATTAGCTGCCTTCTGCTCGTCTACTGCACATAATGAACAGTTTGGAGAGGTGAAGCTGTGTCCGCACACAGGATCCGGTACACCGCCTCTCCTGAGTCAGCCTCCGTCCTGCTCATTCCGCACAGGGAAAGCGCAACCACATGACATGCCAAAATTGTTAGAAATATAATGACCGTCCTCTCATACTATGGAATCGTTATTTCTGCTCATAAAGTCAGCAATATACTAGTTGATACGTCCAAAAAAAAAACATTGCGGGGGTACTTAACCACTTCCCATCCGGCCCATGTATATAAACGGCCGGGAGGGAGCAGTGCAGGAGTGGGTGGCCGTTTATAAACGTCCTCCCCGCTCCCAGCCTGTGCGAGCTCCCTGGGAGCAGCACCGTGATCCGGTGCCCACTGTGTCCGGAGGACACCAATTGCTGTACAGGACCTCTGTGTGAGGTCCCAATCACGCGATCACTGATTGGCCAATCAGTGATCACATGACTAGTAGTAAGCAAGATATCACTTCTGACATCATTGCTTACTACCAGGATCGGACTGACCGTTCGAACACTCAGGCCCGGGGTCAGTAGGGGGCCCCATGAAATGCCCCTGGTACCTTTTATAGGCTTTTTTGGGTGTGTTTTGAGTGTGGGCAAGGACACAGGGGCCCCATGATCCCCAATTGCCCGGGTGCCCCATGAGTTGTCAGTCTGCCCCTACTTACTACTAGTGAAATCTGTGAATGATCGCAGAGGTCACATGGTACAAGGCTATTCACAACAGCCTTGTACGATGTGACAAGCTGTGACCAATCACAGCTCACACGGTAGTTCTCATTGGCTGCAAGAATGCAGCCAGAGAGAAGGAGCAATGATTGCTTTTACAGCCTTTATGGATTTAAAAGCAATCAATGTAAAAAAAAAAAAATCTTCATCACCCCCCACAAGTAGTACAGTATCACTATGGTGACAGTGTACTGCTAGGGTGACAGTATGTTAAAGAAAAAAAAAAACAAATAATAATAAAAAAAAAACTAAAAATGTCAAAAAAAAAAATTTTTTAAAAAATTATAATTTTTGGTTATAAACTAATTTGGATTATTTTTGGTTTTACTAAAAAGATAGCTGAATACATTTTGGCCAAGATTTATGAAGAAAGATTATTTATTTGCAAAATTTTAAAAGAAAAAACACTTTTTTTTTTTTTCAAAATGTTTGGACTTCTTCATTTATATAGCAAAAAAATAAAAATCCCAGAGGTGAATAAATACCACCAAAATAAAGTTTTATCTGTCTCAAAAAATGCTAAAAAATTCATATGGTTACAGTGTTGCATGACCGCGCAATTGTCATTCAAAGTGTGATAGCTCTGAAAGCTGAAAATTGGCCTGGACAGGAAGGGGCTGAAAGTGTCCGGACTGGAAGTGGTTAAAGAGGGCCAACCTTTCAATAAACTTCAAATCAACATGGGGCTCTGCATGCTGATCTGAAATAGTCTAACATTTGTTGTTTAAACCTTTTTTGTTTGTTTTTTTCCTGGTTTCCCTGAAGGCACTGGTGACGTGGCCCCTGCTGCACAGATACTCCATCTGTAGGAACCATCACCAGTGCCTTCAGAGAGATCTTCTTCTTAACTGTGTGGTCTCAAAAAGACAAATGTGTTTTTTTTTACAGATTAGTATCATGTTGTATGGTGCGTGCACGACGTGAAGCATGATTCCATGTGCCTTTCTTATGCATGGCACATACAAAATTTCAGTTATCTTTTTTGAAAGAAAAAATAAGATTTTCCTACATAGTGTTGGATTAAAAGAGAAGTAGGGCTTATTTTCCCCAATTAGGGCTCATGTACACGGGGCGTTTGGAAAACTCTTCTGAATGATGGAAAACTTACTGCTGGAAAACGTTGGTTAAAAAACGCCAGTTTAGCCACGTTTGCATACCGCGTTTGCGTTTAGAAGCAGTTTTAAAAGATAACCTCAGGAGTCCCTCCCAAATGCCCAGAATGCACTGAAAAATAGTAAATAATGAACAATTTCAGACATTTTGAGAGGAATAGAGAGCAGAAGCAGAGAGAGCAGTATGTGTTGAGATGACCTGTCTTTTCTGGTTGTATTCACTATGGATCCCATCATAATGCGGCGCGTTCTACGGTTTTTTCCTTCACACGAAACCTGGAACTGACCGCGCTGGTGTACCGGATCCATTTGAATACATGGAAAACGCTTTGCATGCATTTCTGATGATGAAAAAAAAAAGCTCTGGACATCATCTGAATATAGAACAGTTAAAAAAACACTTCTAAATGCGAACGCTTATAAGCGCGGTTAACCGCGTTTACAAGCATTTGGTGTTTGAAACGCCGGTAAAATCTACTCCTGAATGCAAGTTTGGTGCGTTCAAAAAAACGACTGTAAACTCAACTGACTGTAAACGACGATATGTACATGGACACATAGGAAAACATTAGGGAGAGTTCAGGGGCTGCTGAAAAAAAACGCAGAATGGCTCCTGATCAGTTTAGGAGCTGCAGTGTACCTGAGCCCTTATACTTACATAGGTGGATGCAGCATTGATCCTCCGCCAGTTCTAAGTGTGAGAACCAAGCGGTCACATCACAGCTGTTCTGAGCAGAGAGCGGTGACTGTCAGTCACCGCTCTCTGCTCTGCATCCCCCCCTTTTGCCCACTGGAATGCTGGGCTGTGGAGGGGGAGGGAGCGGGTGGCTCAGGCTTCAGCCTGCTGTCAGTTGAAAAGGGTTCACAGGAGTGCAGAGCAAACTGGAATCCGTCGGAGGAGGCAAGCAAGTGCTACTAACTTTGCTAGTTTCAGTACTTGTTTACACTAGCCTTGCCCTCTGAAGAGTGACCCATGGTCAATTGCTTTTCAGAGGGCAGTTGACAGGGGTGTGAAGGGGCATTATGTCACCTCCTCGCTGTCTGTTTTAACCTCTAGAATCCAGCACCACCACGCCTCAACTGTGTGCATTTCAGGTGGTTGTGGTGCGGCCCTATTCACTTGAATTGGTCATGTCCTGCAGGCAGGTCACCTGCCAAACATGACAGGGGATGTAATATTTGCTCTGCCCATGCCCAGTATACACCCCCGTCTGTCTGTGCAGCTTAAGGGGAGCTTATGTACACCCCCATCCACCTTTGCAGCCTAAGGGAGAACCGTTGATGGGGGGGTTGGCAAAAATGTAAACATCTGTTGTTAATGTCCCCCAACTGTACGTGTAAATGAGCCCTTAATTAGTAGAATGGTTTTAGACAGGCAGGTTGGATGAGTGGGAGAGAGGAGAAAATCAGCTTTATGGTGTATCTAAAGCTAAGAGCAATCATGTAATATATTGCGGCTTACGGTACTTACATATGGTGGCCACATTCTATTTTTTTTCAGAGGGGAGGGTGCAAGAACCTTTTCTTGTCA